TTAAAAGACTAAAAAAATGTATAAAAAATTAAGGGATCAAAACTGGCATCGCTCTTTCCTCATCACATACTTATGTAGAAACTGATTAGTAGTTTCGGTAGTTATATATATATATTTGATGATGAATTATATAAAATAAAATAGTTATTTTTTTAAAAAAAAATTCAAATTATCATTCAAGTATTGTTTAAAATTATATGAAAAAAAATAAACTTATATTTTGAAAAGAAAGGAAGTAACTAAAGAGGTATCTGAACTATCTTGATAATACATGCTAAAACTTGGGGAAAAAAATTTCGATTAGTGGCCTGAAAGTCTCACTCACAATTTTTTTTTTTTAAGATATTAGTTACATAACAAGAGATAACTTTCTTCTATTCCTGACCCTACCTGACTCGTATATTATACGACTTAAATTTAAGATCTTTTATTTTTAAAAGAAGAAAATTATTACTAAATTATTTAGATCGTTGATCATTTACAATTCTTTATTGAGATAAAAGTAACATACATTTCTGTTAATAAACAAAACTCACCTGCATCATTCACTAAACACACTTTTTTTTATATTTGAACAATTAAGATGTTTTTAAATCAATTTTTATATATTTTGAGATTAATTCCTTCCATCAATATTTTTAAAAATGTCCTATATTAACTTATTATATTTATAAAAATTAATTTTTTTAAATACTGATCTCCAAACTAATTAAATTCTAAATCTAATTTGTAAAACAACAGTTACTTATTATTATTGGATTTAACTTGGCTGGATTCCAAACACAGTCTTATAATTAGTATTTACATGATTGAGCAGCCTGGTTGAGTTTCTCCACAACCGCACCAGCAGTCGGAAACGGATCTCCCACAACACAGAACGCATAGGACTTCCAGATCTACAGATACATTCACATGCGTTTCCGGAGTCTTAGGCGGAGGCGGAGGCGGATCCGGCTTTGGCTTTACGATCTCGATGCTCTTGATGCATCCACAACCCTTGCAGCATAACTTGTCTCTGATCTTCTCCGGCGAGCAGCTCACCACCTTAATTGTCACCTTGTTTGCCTTCTCATCATACTTCTGATCTCGTATTTCTTTAATTAATTTGTTCAGAGCACAAAGACTCGATCAGTCCATTTGGCTAATCAATTCATAAATTGGTATACGTATATCGTATGTACAAAAATTATATTTAACAAATTATATATTATTTAATTAGGAGAGAACAATAATAATTGAAGAAAGGGAGTCATCACCAGGAAATTTGCAGAGAAGTTTCTTGATCTTTTTGTAGCATTTTGAGCACTGTAGGTCCACTACATTCAGCGCCATTGTTGTCACCTGTAAAAGTATATATATATATATATATGTATGGCATGCAGCATCATTATTAGACAAGGAATATAATTTCAGAAAAAGGATTAATTATGAGCAAATTAAAATCAGGGTGCCATATATATGCATCAAACCAAAATACATAACTATAGATATATATATATATATATATATCCTTAATTTTCATCAAGAGAGAGAGAGAGAGGTATAACAGCCACA